AGCGTCTTCATAGCCAGTACCGCGATAGGACGATGGCCAACAGCGTCCTCGTCTAAAGGCAGTCCTGGTGCGTGAACGGGTTGCCATGGTCAGTAAGCAGACCATATGGCATCCCCCCCAAACCCCAGCTCGTGCCCATGATGATGAAGCATTCGCTTAGTAGTCGCCTCGTCGTTAGTGGTAGCACCATACTTGCAGCTTCGAGCTTGTCCCGTGCCCCACTGCACCCGTCTGTGCCAGCTCGCATTTGGGGTGCCCGGCTGTCCGCGGCTTGCATCGAGGTCCAAGGCGATGCGCTCGCTCGCAGCCTCGAAGTATACTGTGAAGCGTTTGGTGACCGGAATCTCCCTGATGGTCGCGATGATGTAGGACTGTTGGTTGCTCTCGTCTCGTAATTTGGTGGTCCCGCGCGGCAGCGTGGCCTGGGTACATCCATCTCTCCGTCGTAGGTTGCCTTGAAGAGAGCTTCGTTGCTGATGCCCGCACGCACGAACACGATAGCAAACCTGCAGCACCCCCTCTGCACATGGCACGCAGAGACGTGGCAGGCACAGTGGCCATCGGTGGCTCCATCCCCGAGACCTCAGCCTTCACGTTAGGCACCGCGTCTGTTATCGTACTCGGGAAGCTTTCGTTCAGGTTACGCAGATCATGACTACCTACCAGACCACCCCAACCCAACCCGAAGACCCGAATTGGACCCGAATTTCGGGTTGCGGGGGGTACGGATTCCATGTGTTTTCTCGACGTTCCCCGACCCCCCCCACTGGAAATCGAGGAGAAATTTGGGCCTTCGGGTTGGGTTGGGGTGGTCTGGTGGATGGTGAGATCACGAGGACGCACATCCTGGGCGGCTGCGGCACTGCAGTGCGGTCGTCGACGGGCACTGTCGAGTGCAGTGCCGCAGCCCTCCTCCTCCTCCTCCTCCTCCTCCTCCTCCTCCTCCTCCTCCTCCTCCTCCTCCTCCTCCTCCTCCTCCTCCTCCTCCTCCTCCTGCAGTTGGGCTGCGGCACTGTCTGCCCACCGCGGCGGGCACCGGCCGTGGCCGCGCGCAGGTCAGCTGTCGGTGCCGCTGGCGATGCGGCTGCAGTGCGGTGGTCGACGGCCGGGCACGGGGTGCCACGGTAGTGCACGGCACGGGTATGGTTCAGTCGGGCGTGTCCCCCTACAGAGGGATTTTCGACGAAGAATAAAACAATATACAAAAATGACAAAAACAAATGCTCAAAAAATAGTCCCCCGACTATTTTTGACTATTTTTGGACATTCCCCCTGTAGAGGGACAGGCCCGACTTAAGGGTATGGCTGGCACGCTGCCTACCCTGCGGCAGGCAGGGCTGATCTCGAAGAACGCCTCGCAGCCGCAGTGGCGGCGCAGCCGTCCGCAGCTGGGGCAAGCCAGGCAGAGGCCAGGCCTGCGCGCGGCAGAGAGGTCTCGCTGGCAACTGCGGCGGTGGCGGTGATCGATGGAGGGGCCGATGGGGAAGACTGCGTGTAAGATTCGGGAGCGACCAAGAGGGGGGGTGTCCAAAAGGGGGGGGTACAAATCATGACTGGCGGCATGTGCGCGGCCCAGCGGGGGGGGCAGGGAACGGAACGAAGCAGCCATACGCCAAAAGCGCGTGGGCAAGGAAAACTAGAGCGGCATGCCAAACGCGTGCCAACCTGGCCTGGACGCGCCAAATGCGTGCCGAGCGGACGGAGGGAAGAAGAAGGAGGAAGATGATGAACATACGATAAGAAAGACGCCATGAAATCTGGGGAAATATCATGGCCCCCACCATGATATCCACCCCCCTAGTCATCACCCCCCCTCTTTGCCGCCCCCGACAGATGGTATGCGGTCTGTGCGCGATGGGCGAAGACCTCCTCCGCCTGCGTCCCGTCCTGCCCCCGTTTCCGAGCCGCGCCGGGCCACAGCGACGAGGGCGCCCCCATGGGAGCACAAGAGAGGGATGAGGAGGAAGCGGAGGAGGAGGCAGAGGTAAAGAACGACGACGACGACAATTATCGCGACGACGACGACGACGACGACGACGACGACGACGACGACGACGACGACGACGACGACGGTAACGAGGGCTGCTAGGGGGACGCCTGCTTGCCAGCACCCTTCGTCAGGCCCATCGGCAGCGCTGGCACGTTCCACATCGTCGCGGCAGAGGGGTGAGGGAGGGGGAGGAGGAGGAGGAGGAGGAGGAGGAGGAGGAGGAGGAGGAGGAGGAGGAGGAGGAGGAGGAGGAGAAGGATGAGGAGAAGGAGGAGCATGAGGACGAGCATGTGGAGGAGGAGGAGGAGGAGGAGGAGGAGGACCAGCGCAAATCCAAGACTCATACGTTGGAAAACACCCTCTCTCCAAGCTCTCTCTTCACAGGCCCCTAAAAAGGTTCATTCCCACTGACGGAATTGGCCCGTAGAGGGACAACAGAGTGAAAATTCTGAAGCGCGCCAAAACACCATTCTCAGGAGTCCAACGCCACGGGTAAGTCTTGGCGATCCTGAATAATCGTGCCATAACACCGTTCCTCGGACTTCAACACTGCGAGTCAGCGTAACTGCTTCACCCTGACAATCCAGAATCGCTCCAAAATACCTTCTCTGATACGTTAACCATGAGAACGAATGAAACTCTTGCGAATGCTCAAACTTGATGCGCGCGACGCTGAGGCGAGAGCCACACTTTGAAAACGGCCCTCCCCCAATCCGTGAAAATCGTGCATTGTGTGTGTTAAACGAATGTGCGCGGCGCTAGGGCGAGAGCAACACTTTCAAACGGCACGCCCTCAATCCGTGAAATTCTTGCAAATGCTGTTAAATGAGCGTGCTCGGCGCTAATGCGCGAAGCACATGTTGAAAACCACCCGCCCTCGATCCGTGAAACTCATGCAACTGTTGTTAAACGAGTGTGCGCGGCGCTAAGGCGAAAGTCACAGTTTGCAAACCACCCGCCCTCAATCCGTGGAACTCTTGCAAAGATTCGAAACGAATGTGCGCGGCGCTAACGCGAAAGCCAAATCCTGGAAGCGATCCGCCCTCCATATGTGAAACTGTTGCCAATGTCTAAGCTTCGGGATCACAAATGGTGAGGTAGTCTCAGGCGGAACGCCCGGCCCGCCCTTTCAACCGGCCTCGGGGCGCGACAGGGAGGAGTTCTTCATAAGGAAAAGGCACGGAGGAGGAGGAGGAGCGGGAGGAGGGATACAGAAGAGGGGGAGAATGAGGTGTCCGGGTGCTCCCTGACGAATCAAACGAGGACGGACGAGGGAGAAGCGGGGCACAGCGTGGTTTACAGTGCTCTCGCTGGGGGACCTGGGCTTCAAGAGCTTGCCAGAAACGCCAACGAGTTGCTGGGCGTTTCCGAAGGATGACAAGAGAAGGAGGAGGAGGAGGAGGAGGAGGAGGAGGAGGAGGAGGAGGGGCAGCAGGAGGAGGAGGACGACGAGGACGAGGAGGCGCAGGAGGAGGAGGAAGAGGAAGAGGAGGAAGAGGACGGGGAGGAGGGGGAAAATAAAAAAGTCGGGGCGGAGGGGGCGCGCTGCCTGGTGGGCGGGGGGGATGCGGAGGGGGCGCGCGGGATGGGGGGGGGGCCGTGCCGAAATAAAATGGTCGGGGCGGAGGGGGCGCGCTGGCTGGTGGGTGAGGAGATGGTGGTCTGGGTGGGTGGGGGGGGGGGGGGCCGTGCCGAAATAAAAGGGTCGGGGCGGAGGGGGCGCGCTGGCTGGTGGGTGGGGGGATGGGGTGGGGGGGATGGGGGCGCACTGGGGGCGCGCTGGCTTGTAAAAAGGGTGCGTGATGGAGGGGGTGCCGTGCCGAAATGTGGTCGAAGCTCTAGACACCCTGTGTAAGAGAATAAGTTGTTGTGACTGTGAGTGAGAGTGGATACGGCTGGCTGAATACAACTGGGACTGAATGCTCGGCACGACTAGGTCTCCCTTGGCCGATGTGGAATGCCTCGATGCAATGACTACTTCATCGCGGTGATCATGGGGCTACCAAAAAAGAATGGCGGGGAAGCCACAACCAACGTTTTGCATGAGACGTCGCCACAACTTCAGACGTCCCACAGCACGGACGCGAACGGGCAAGTGTCCCCTACGCCTTCTGGCGGCTCCCCTTTGGGGTACCAAAACGCTGGGTCTGCTACATCGAGGTGACCCGGGGGCTCTCGAAACAGAGGAGCCGAGGGGCCAAAACCAGCGTTTCGCTTGAGACGCCCTCGCAATCTGGGCGCGAACGAGCAAGTGTCCTGCCCGGCTGCCCCCTTTGGCGGCTCCCCCTGGGATGCTAAAATGTTGGGCCTGCTACATCGCGGTGGCCCTGGGGCTTTATGAGCGGGCCTGAGTGCGTGAGTCGGTATATCTATCAGTAGAGCAGGAATGTCAGAGCCTGAGCATGAGGAACCTGAGAGGGAGACGGCGCGAGTGAGTTGAGGAAACGGAGGCGTGACACTGATAACAAGCACGTAGATGGAGACAACCTAACAAGTAGGCCAGACGCATATGTTGGATGCGTTTGATCCTCTGCGGCTCCTCCATGCCACCATGGCCGACAGCTCGTTCCGACCCAGCCCCGCGCATCGCAACCATCGCACAAAAAACGCCACACAGGAGCAGGAGGAGGAGGAAGACGACGACGACGACGACGACGACGACGAGAAGGAGCAGGAGAAGGAGGAGGGAGGAGGGAGGGAGGAGGAAGGGAGGAGGGAGGGAGGAGAACGAAGACGACGACCACGAGGGGCAGAAGGATGGAGGACGAGGAAAAAGGACGGGGAGAGGAGCAAGGAGGAGGCAAGACGAGAACGAGGACTGGGAGAAGGAAACAAGAGGCGAGCGCGGGAGGGAGGGAGGGGAAGCGTGGAGGGAGGCAAGGGGAGGCGAGGACGAGGGAGAGAGAGAGGGAGGAGGGAAAGGCGAGGGAGGATGAGGATGATAAGAAGGGAGCAAAGGGAGGAGGGGGGGGGGGGGAGCCTGGGGGGCGGGCGCGCCCTGCGCGCGCGCCCCGGCGGGCTCCTCGGGAGCCAGCCGAACGGCTGCGGACGGCGGCGGCTGCGGAGGATGACCGCACGGCCACGGCCAGACGCGGGAGCGCTGCGGACAGGCGAGAGGGCAGAGGGAGCCGAGCTGGGTCGGGGGCGGGGCGTCGCCGAAGAGCAGATCTTCCCTGCCCTGGAACCACTGCGCCCGCGCTTCGCAAGGGCTCCAGAAGAAGCTGCACGGCCTGCCGAACAGACTTGCCAAGAAACGAGAAGGAGGATGAGGAGGAGGAAAAGGAGGAGGAGGAGGAGGAGGAGGGGAAGGAGGGGGGGAGGGTAAATCCCACCAGCCTTCTGGGCGGAGGCGGTTTAAAGAGTTTCCTCTTCCAAACCCCCTTTTTTCCCCTCTGGGGAGGGGCTTACCACTGTTCTGTATTAGTGCCCACCCCGTCCCACACCCGACCGGCGAGGGACCCCAGACAATGCAGGCACCCCCCGCCATCCCTGTCAAAAAACATCACAAAATATACTTTGCACCAAGATCTGGATCATGCGCACACGCCGGGCGATCACTCTACATGTGGTTTTTGACAAGGACGGCCAGGGTGCCGGCATATTGCCTTCTGTGTGCAACGCCAAGACTCCCAAAAAACATCCCTTGCAAAAACACTGCCAAAGGCGAAATACCCAAAATTCTAGAACCTGCGCAGGCACCGCGTGATCATTCTGCATGCGTTTTTGACAAGGACGGCGGCGACATATTGCGTGCTGCGTGCAGGCCCATCATCCCTTTTTACTAGAAATGCTAAATCCACTGCGCCAAGGACGGCCGGGGTGGGCGGCATACTGTCTGCTACGCGCAGGCCTGCGATGCATGCCAAGAACAAACGCGAAACGACTGCGGGTGCACACCCCCGCGCACACACGCATAGATAGATAGATACATATATATACATATATATATACATATAAACATATATACATAAATAGATACTTATATATGCACATACATACATGCATATATGAATGCATACATACATACATACATGCATGCATACATACATACATACATACATACATACATGCATACATACATGCATGCATGCATGCATGCATGCATACATGCATGCATGCATATATACATACATACATACACACACACACACATACATACATACATACATACAGACAGACAGACAGACAGACAGACAGACAGACAGACAGACAGACAGACAGACATACATACGTACGTACGTACATACATACGTACATACATACATACATATGTGCATGCATGCATGCATCCATGCATGTATGCATACATATAGTCATACATACATTAAGTCATTCATTCATTCATGCATACACACATACATACACATACATATACATATACATATACAGATACATATACATACACATACACATACACATACACATGCACATACACATACACATACACATACACATACACATATATACAAACATACATACATACATACATACATACATACATACATACATACATACATACATACATACATACATACATACATACCTGCATGCATGTATGCATGCATGCATGCATGCATGCATGCATGCATGCATGCATGCATACACACACACACATACACACATACACACATACACGCATACACCAAGTACACAGACGTTTGGCGTCACGGCCCTGCGCGCGGCGACGGGGCGTAGAAAGACGGAACCAGGCAGCGACGCGCGCGCGTCTACGCCCAGCCGAGCACTCAGAGACCACCCAGGGCCTCCCAACCGCTGGCAACTGTTAACATCTGGGCATGAACAGCGGGGAGGAAGCGGTGAGTAGAAGAAACTACTGTGAGGGTGGACGGTGACAAAAACTAACTGGGACTGGAGGGCGTGGGACAGCGAGTGAGCGAGCGTGGACCGACAGTGGAATGCGTCAAGGAGCGACGGGGGAGAGCTAGGTACAGGCGGTGGAGCCGCAAAATGTCACAGGCCGAGAAGCCGCAAAAGCCCGCGGAGGCACACGCATGCACACGCACTTGTAAGTCGGCGGCGCACGGGAGCCTCAGGCGCGGTGGGCAGGTGGAGGTGCAGATTGCGAACGAACTAGTCGAACGCGCCACGATGAAAGAATTCAGCCACGGCCATGCAGAACGGTGGTGGGAAGAAGGAGGCACTGCAAGGC